TATCCAAAATTATTTGTAGTAGTTATGTATTTTTTTTATCATTATCCATCTTAATGCTCATTATGCTTTTTAAGAGGTATTTATTGAATCGAATAAAACATGTATCTGCTTCATATCTAGTCTATTGTCTTTCTTATATCCATACAAAATGAGAACATTCATGGTCATTGATCTTTAGCATCTATCGATGATGCAACCTCCATTCTTTGTTCAGTTTGTTGATCAATCATAATAATATTGTATTATGAAAAAAAATACCAATTTTTTAATCACCAGTCATCAAACCTCTATTATCATGTATATATATTGGTGATTAGTCATTATTTGTATCATAATGATTACTTTCTTAAAAAACAAACAAAAGAAGATAAAAAAAATTTTGGAAAATAATCATAATTTTTTTTAGGTGTGTGAAAAAAAAACAACTATTATTTATTGAAAGAAACGTGGACATATAATTGTATTATGCATAAACAAATTCTTATAGATTAAAATTATGTGCTAACCTTATTACAAGAATATACTAGAGTGATTGTGATTTTTTTTATTGTATAACCAACGCTTCTATGCAGACCTCTAGGACTAGTTTGCTAGGTTTTTATTAAATTTCACTTTTAGAAAAGCTAAGTCGGGACTCTACTTCGAACACACACACAGATATATATATTTACGATGGCTCAAGAGGTAACTATGTGATAATATAAAATAAATCCAAACAACAAAATAGTCCTTAAATAATTAGGACATAAATAAATAACTAAAATTCAAAGCATAAAAATAGTTAAATAAGACTAATTATTTCAGCCCAAATAGGTCTTGAATGTGCTAGCATTAAGGAACATTCAAGCCTTGGACTTAGGGATGGCAATTTGCTCGCCCCAATGGAGCCCCGCCCCATTTCGCCACGGTCAACATGAGAATTCCCCGTGTTGATCAAGAAACGGGATGGGGCGGGGATGATATTTGCCCACCTCGCCCCGTTTGTCTCATTTCATGATTTCATTCCCGCCCCCGCCCCACACCATTGTCATTCCTACCCGGATCTGTTGGTTTCATGGCCTAACACATCCACTCCTGTATAAGGCTCTTCCGGAGGAATCCTCGGAGTTGAAAAGAAGATGTCATTAATATATCTCATATTAAAAATTTAAAACAAAAAATGATTAATATATAAAATTGAAAAGGAGTCACTCAAGCCTTAGGGTGCATAAGTGATCCCTTTTCAACTTTATATATTAATCATTGAACTATTCCCTTTCAACTTTATATATCAATTATCTTTAGTTTTAAATTTTCAATGTGGGATATGTTATCTAACAAGATGGGTTTTTAGCATAGTATTAAAGTCTTGATGACCAAATGGTTACAAGTTCGAATCTCACAACCCTCATTTTCTATTCTAATTAAGCACTAGATAATGATGGATCTATGCAAGTTTTAAACTCAAAACGCTTTCACTCGAGGAGGTATGTAAGAAAATAATATAAAATTATTTATGGGGTCTCATTCAGCAATTTAAGCTTTTGCATTGATATAATTCGTTGACAAATAGCATGACCGGGACCATCAAATTAGAATACTTTTTTCAAATAATTTTACACTTTTTGTTCAATTTGCAACATAATGTGGACAACTAGTTAGTTTTTTGGATTAAATTATGTTACGTCCTATTTTTAAGTGAATGAGGAAACAATACATTACCAACTAATAATTATTTAATTACAGCGTTGTTCTTGGAATGAATAAACATGATCTTATTTAATTAAAAAAGATTCTTTTAGATTGCAAAATTAGGCTGCCCATTTGATTAAGAATTTGAAAGTAATCTTTGGAATGCATAAACATCAGCAAACGTTTTATTGACTGTTGAAGTTCGACTTTTCTCCACTATCAATAGACCAACAATAAAATATTGGGTTTTGTTCAGATATTCATCATACATATGCGTTGAATTACAAAATTTTTCTTGGATTGAATAAACAAATCAAAATTTAATTATAACGTTTTCTTTTTGGAATGAATAAATATGACCTAAATTATAATTAAAAAATATTCTTTAGAACGCAAAAACTATCTGTCCATTTAATTAAAAAATTGAAAGTAATCCTTGGATGTGGCATCAGGCTGTCTTTATTTTTTAATTTTTTGAATGGTTCATCCGAATGTTATTTTGGCCTTAACTTGAATCCTTGTTTAAGCCAAGTGAAATTGCCTACACCCTTAATCCCCACCATGCCCTACTTTGAGTTCTTGCCAGTGAATCGAAAGGATGGATTTACAAATTCAAACACTGCACCTGCAACATCCCTTAATCAAAAGAAAGATCAAGAATTGATAGACCTTTGTTGATGTCAAGCTTGGTGAAGAATATGAGCTTGTCATCAGCACCCATGGTGGTGATGCTCTATTCATTCCACAATACAATAATTTGCAAAGCTACTGTTTGCTTCTTCTATAGCTCTTAACTTCTTGATTATCAGAATTTTTTCACAATTTTTGGCCTTAATGATATTTATTGCTCACAATTTCTTTCCAGGTCTTTATTGGTATCGAGTTGGGGACATACTTCGTGTGGCTGGATTCAAGAACAAGGCCCCTCAATTCAACTTTGTGTGCAGAAAGAATGTTGTTCTCAGCATTTCGATGTATTTGTGATAGAATATGCACGCTATGCTGACACATCAAACATACCTGGTTACTATGTTTTATTCTTGGAGATTTGCCTTAGTGGAGCAACTCCTATTCTTCCTCCACCTTTCGAAGATTGTTGCCTTGCTATTGAAGAATCATTCAACAGTTTTTTATCGCCAAAACAGAGTTTTAGATAATTCCATTGCCTCCCTAGATTTAAGGATGGTGGAGGATGGGACATTTGACAGTCTTATTTTCTTTTTAAGCCAAGGTGCATCAATAAATCAGTTCAAGGCTCTGTGTCAAATATGCACCGATTATCAAGCTTCTCAACTCAAGGGTTGTGTGAAATTTCTTGTCGAAATACCCTCAACATTGGGTTCCAAGTCAAAAGTAGAGGTATTCACTATTCGATGAAAACCGAATAACCAAACCAAATCGCACCAAATTATCAATTTTGGTGCGGTTTTTTTTAGAAACTAAAAAAAAAATCGAACCGAAATATAGCCGCTTTTCGATTTCAGTTTCAATTTTTTTTTTTAATTCGGTTAAAACCAAATAACTAAAATTATTAAATTTTTTTTTAAATTCATCGATGAACGACGTCGTTCATTCCAATCCTCACACCCTCACCTCACCCTCATGCAAACCTAAGCTAATTGGAGTTAAATCAATTACCCCATAACTAATTCTTGTTACATTGATTATGTGAGCCAACTGGCCCAACGTCAAATGACCATAACCAATTCTTGTTTATAATTGCCCAAGGAGGTACATAATTTCTTTCTTGATTCAATTTATAGTTTTTTAAAAAAGATGTGAGATAGTGTTTTTTTTCTATGTGAAAGAAAACTAGTTAATTTATGGACCACGATAATAATTAGTATGTCTTTTTTTAGTAAACACATATAATTTAAAATTACGTTAAAGAAAATTGAGTGTTTAAAGTTTTAATGTTCTTCTTTGTTCAAAAACAACATTGTCATTTAATTAGCAATTGTTAGCTTATGGCTGTAATGTTTAACAAGTTATCCAAAATTATTAGTTCTAATTACGTCAAGTTAATTAAAAGTGTCTTTCATAAAGACAAATAAGTCGATTATATTTGAGCTTCAAAGCATGCTCGTTTCTTTTTAGAAGGAATTGTTAAAATGTCTTAATTATAACACATATTTGACGGTATTATCTATCGATATCGATAGTCAATAACATATATTATATATTATTAGACTTTATATAGTAATGATGACATCTCTTATTATATATATCAATTGATATTAAATTAGTAATACCTATTGAGGAGTAGTAAAATAATAATAAATAGACCGAGTTCAATGAGATTGAAAAACGTATACATATAGGAACATAGTCTAAAATCGCAATGCAAATATTAAATTTATTTTTTCAAAAGTGCACGATCCTTTCAAAATAATTGGAGCACTCCAACCTTAAAGGAAGAGTTCCGATTGCCAACATATTTATTGCCTTGGGTATATTGTTTCAAGTTCAAGATATTCAGTATTCTCTTCATATTAAGGAGATTGTTTATCTTTTTAATTTATATTTGTTTTCAAATATTTGTCTGATATAACTTTTAAACCGTGTATGAATAAAAGATGTTAGATGTAAAAAGATAAAAAAGAACGATATCTTTGGAATAACAGAAATAATATTTATCAAAATTGGTTGCCTGTTCACAAAAGCTTTCTTATAATTTAACTCTTAATTTGTTCCCAAAAAACTACTAATTCATTGCATGCATGAAGCACTCTACTGTTATGTTTAGCTAGGACGTATCATATCAAACATAATTGTAACAGCAAAATTCTACTTTGTTTTGCAAGATTGGGAAATTTTATTTGTGAAAATTTCGAAGCAGCTGCTAGTTGCAGGCTTTGGATCTTGGAATCTACCTTCTTATGTTATTGTTGGGTTGGATTTTCGAGCTCTAAACCTATGTATATAGATATTAAAAAATAAAAAGACCTAAGCTAAAATTTACGTGAGTGATTTAATATAAAACCAACTTGACTCTCTCTCATTTTGAGAGAGAAAAGTGAATGTGTGAAGGGAACAATAATAATAAAAAAAAATGTCAAGATATTGTGAACAACCAGCTAGTTCTTTCTATTAAATCATAGTAAGTCTCATTTTTAACTGAATGAAGAAACAATACATTACCATCTCATTTTTAAATGTCAATTTTTATAATTTGTTTCACAAATTGGACTTAAAAAAAAAAAAAAAACGAGAAGATCACTTACTTATGACTTTTCTAAAAACACAATAGTCATTGTGGATGTATATGCGTTATTTGAAATTTAAAATAAATAAACATTAAATTTCATTGCTGAATTTTGTTATAACAAATGCCAAGATCGTACCTTGTAGTTGCAAAAGTCCCCCCAGCAGAAATTATTGATTGGTTTGCCCTCATATATTTGCCTGGAATTACAATCCCTTCACTTGCACCTATTCGCAATAGAAAAGAGGAGATTCACATAAAAAGCAGCGAAACACCAAACCCTATTGTGAGACTGTAAGACTGAAAGAGTGACTCTAAAGAGATATTTGCAGTGCGTTCAGACATTTAACAGGGAAAGAAATCGAGACCAATCGCCACATACAATAACCCCTCGAAAACGCCAATTTATAGCTCCCGGTTTTTAAGAAGTCTTTTTCGATGGTTCCATCCCATTTTTGGACCTAAAAACTGGTGACTGGTCTCTGGTGTGCGTAGACCATGGGCCACTAATATTTTAATCACAATTAAGAGAACACTTATAATTAAAGGGACATTAATTAAATCAGTCTAAACTCTATCTTAATTACATTACGTAGTCTAATTAAGGACACCCAACATGGATTAAATTATGTAGTAGCACAGGACTTGAGAGAGATTTGTGCTCGAACCCTAGATTGTCAGCAACTATATATTATTTTTTTGTGTACCGCTATAAAGTAGAGATCAAGTTGTTTAGATATACTTTTCTTTTTGGGTAAGTATCCTCGTGTTTTTTTTTTTTAATGGTGTATTGATATATTAGGTCACCAAGTTGTCAAGATCCATACCTTTGCACATGGACAATTAATGAGAAATTTTATCTAGTGATAATGAGTTGAATGCTTAGGTTGGAAGTTGTAACCATCTATCTCAATCTTTTGTCTTTGAGCCAGCATAATGCATCTAATAAAACCATGGCGAGCCGACCCATAAACCAGTTGGGGTCAAGACTGTAAGACTGACAGTGACTCTTAAGATATAGTTGCTGTGATTGAAAAGGTAAATTTTTTTTTTACATTAATTGTTGTTTTATTTTATTTTTTTATGTAAGCTTATATATCTCTCTGTTTCATTTAAACAAAAAAATTATTTTCATGGTAATCCCAGCATTGATCCTCTATAAAAAAAAAAAAAAAAAATCGACAGAGTTGACCTCTAAAAGATGAAATAGAGTTCAAAATCATGGAAAGCACCTTACATTATTAAAAAAGAAAAAAAAATGAGAAGAGCCAAATGATGCAAATAAAGAATCAAAAATTGCAAATTGAAAATTGAAAGCAGCGAAACACCGAACCCTATTATGAGACCGTAAGATCGAAAGAGATATTTTCTGTGATTGAAAAGGTAATGCTTTTACATTAATTGTTGTTGTTTTTTTTTATGTAATCTAATAAAAAAATATTACAATTCTTTATTTAAGAATTCATGTATAAAAAAATCTATTAAAAAGAATATAAGAAAGAATTAATTAATTACAGAATTTAAATTACAAAATCATAAGTTAGGTGGAAAAAATTCTTGGTTTTGATTTCAATATATTTTATTGGACTTACAGCAGGGCAGAACCATCAAATTAGAATTTTTTTTTAAATGATTTCATTTGTTCTCCCCAATTCCCAACATATTGTGAACAATCAGCTAGTTCTTTCTATTAAATCATAGTAAGTCTCATTTTTAACTGAATGAAGAAACAATACATTACCATCTAATAATTATTCATTAAAAATTGGAAAAAAAATCAACAAAAGTCTCGGTGCAAGGAAGGCACAAATGCTCTTTGATTTTCCCTGCTTATCTTATAAGTTTTTTTTTTAAAAAAAATCCTAGCTAATGAGTTGTACTAGAAACTGAGTTAATCTATAAAAAGAAAGAAATTGAGTTAGTGAAAGTTATATTTTATTTTAATTTTTTGGATGAGATGTTTTATTTATATAAAATTTATTTTCATGGTAATCCCAGCATTGATCCTCTAAAACAAATAATAAAAATAAAAATAAAAATCAACAGAGTCCACCTCTGAATGATGAAATAGAGTTCGAAAAATGGAAAGTATGCACCTTACATTATTATTATTGTTATTGTTATTGTTATTTGAAAAAAAAAAAAAAAAAAGAGAAGATCCCAATGAAGCAACTTAATACTAAAAAATTGCAAATTGAAAGCCAAATAATAAAAAAGGAAAAGAAGATTATCCTTTATGTTTTTGAATTTTTTTTTAAACTTGAATCCAACTATTTTCTGAAAACAAACAAGCCACCTGTGAAAACAGCCACTAGTTTTTGTCAATCTAATAACGCAGTGCCAGCTTCAATCGAAACAAATGATTATTTAATTTCATCGTTTTTCTTGAAATGAATAAACATGGGAGATGGTGGATGTGGCATCAGGCTGTCTTTAGTTTTTAATTTTTATAAACTTCTTGGTGGGTGTGTATATATATATATGTATGTATGTATGTATGTATATCCCTCTCCGTCATTTCACATACGAAAGATAGCACTACTGCCTACAATTTCTGTAGTTAATCTCTTCTCCTTTGACTCACATATTTCCTCTCTTTTGTTTTGCCATGGCAGAAGAAGCTCTTAAGAAAAACTAGGGTTGTGTGGATTCCTTGATTAGGGAAAAAAATAGCAAGGCTTTACAGTTTATTGAAGATGTCACGTGTAATGCTGATGAGGTGCAAAAGAGGGTTCTTGCTGAAATCCTCTCCAGGAATGCAAATGTTGAGTATTTGCAGAGACATGGCCTGAATGGGAACACAGCAGACAGAGAAACATTCAAGAAAGTGATGCCTGTTGTCACCTATGAGGATCTGAAGCCAGATATTGATCGTATTGCTAATGGTGATGCTTCACAAATCCTATGTTCCCAGCCCATATCAGAGTTCTTGAAAAGGTGAGTCCATCAACTTAGTTTACTAGCTTTTCTTTTCTTTTTTTCTACATAATTGTTTTGCGTGACCTGGAGTTATTTGATGCTGTTTTTGATGTGTAGTTCTGGTACATCTGGTGGAGAAAGAAAAATGATGCCAACAACTGAGGAAAACAAGGAGAGGTCATCATTTCTACGTAGTCTATTGATGCCAGTGATGAACCAATTTGTTCCAGGTTTGGATAAAGGAAAAGCGATGTACTTTTATTTCGTAAGATCAGAAGAGAAGACTCCTGGAGGACTACTGGCACAGCCAGCTTTAACTAGTTATTTCAAAAGTTCACATTTCAAAGACAGGCCTTATAATCCATAAACCAACTATACTAGCCCAAATGAAACCATTCTCTGTCCTGATTCTTACCAGAGTATGTACTCTCAATTGCTTTGTGGCCTATGCCAAAACAATGAAGTTCTTCGAGTTGGTGCAACCTTTGCTTCTGGGTTCATTATGGCAATTAAGTTCCTTGAAAAACATTGGATTTTGCTTTGCAATGATATCCGAAGTGGAACTATTGACCCCAAAATAAGTGACCCCTCAGTAAGAGATGCTGTTTTGAAAATTCTCAAACCCAACAAGAAACTAGCTGATTTTATTGAGGCTGAATGTAGCATAGAGTCATGGAAAGGGATCATACCTAGGTTGTGGCCTAACACCAAGTATATTAATGTTATTGTTACTGGTACAATGTCACAGTACATTCCAACACTTGACTTTTATAGTAATGGCCTCCCTATAGTTTCCTCCATGTATGCTTCTTCTGAATGTTATTTTGGCCTTAACTTGAATCCTTTGTGTAAGCCAAGTGAAGTTTCCTACACCCTTATCCCCACCATGGCCTACTTTGAGTTCTTGCAAGTGAACCGAAAGGATGGATTTACAAATTCAACCACCGAAACTGCAACATCCCTTAATCAAAAGAAAGATGAAGAATTGATTGATCTTGTTGATGTCAAACTTGGTGAAGAATATGAGCTTGTTGTCACCACCTATGCAGGTAAAAGCTCTATCCATTCTACAATACATAAATTGCAAAGCTACTGTCTCCTTCTTCTATAGGTTTTAACTTCTGGAGGAGTAGAAAGTTTGCTTAATTTTTTGGCCTTAATGATATTGCTCACAATTTCTTTTCAGGTCTTTATCGGTATCGAGTTGGGGACATACTTCGTGTGGCTGGATTCAGGAACAAGGCTCCTCAATTCAACTTTGTATGCAGACAGAATGTTGTTCTCAGCATTGATTGTGATAAGACTGATGAAGATGAGCTGCAAAATGGAGTGAAGAATGCTGCCAACTATCTTCTACGATTCGACGCTTCTCTCTCAGAATATACAAGTTATGCTGATACATCAAACATAACTGGCCACTATGTTTTATTCTGGGAGATTTGCCTTAGTGGAGCAACTCCTATTCCTCCTTCAGTTTTCGAAGATTGTTGCCTTGCTATTGAAGAATCACTCAACTCGGTTTATCGCCAAATGCGTGTTTCCGAAAAGTCCATTGGCCCTTTAGAGATAAGGATGGTGGAGAATGGGACATTTGACAAGCTTATGGACTTTGCTTTAAGCAAAGGTGCATCAATAAATCAGTACAAGACTCCAAGGGGTGTCACACATGCACCAATTATCGAGCTTCTCAACTCAAGGGTTGTCTCAAATTACTTCAGTCGGAAATGCCCGAAATGGGTTCCCCGTCAAGAGCAATTGAGCACTCCAAACTGAAGGAGTACCAATTTGCCAACATATATATATATATATATATATATATATCCTTGGCTATCTTGTTCAAGTTTTTAGTAATATTTATCAAAATCGGTTTGCTTGTTAACAAAAGTTTCTTTTTGATTCAACTCTTAATTTGTTTATACACGTATATTAATTTTTTTGAGAAATTTTATGATACATAAGGGATAATTAGTGGTATATATAGTAATTATTCCATAGATCCATTTTGAAAAGAGAAATAAACCACTAAAAATGATAAAAAGATTTTTATGTTCTCTCAATTTTTTTTAATTTCTCTCTTTTTTCTTTTTTTTGTCTATCTCTCTTTTTAAAAATAAATACATAATATAATTATTGTATATATCACTAATTACTGCTTATGTATATATCATTAATTACTACTTGTGTATTATAAAATTTCTCAATTCTACGGTTTTCAATTTTGGTTCGATTTTCATGTTCATTTATGTCCCACCGCAAACCTAAACATACAATAATTCCATTTCTATTCTATACATGCGAAAAGCCGGGCTTAATTAGTAACATCTTACTAAGACATCAAACATATCTGAAGACCCAAAAGGCCTTGAGAAAACAAA